GGCCAACAGCTTGGGGGGGGGGGGGAAGAACAACAAAAGCAAAACATCCAACAGCAACACATCAAATGCAAAAGCTGCAGCGAAGAAGAACACTCCTCCCCCGTTTGTTCGCCAAGGCCGGGAAGTGTGCTTCCGCTGCACCGGTTCGGCCGCCATGGAGGAGGACTGTCGCAACATCTACTGCCAGAACTTCTTCCGAAAGGCGCGGATGGATTTCCAGGGCTCCATGTCCCCGGAAAGCGGCGATTGAAACCTCACCTCGTTGAAAGCGAGCTGCGGGTGATAGGGAGCCCGGGGCGGGCAAAAATCCAGTGAGGCGGGATGCTTGTTTGCCAATGTTTTTCTTCAGAAGTGGTTGCTGGCGATTCCCATGGAGAGAGGGGCGCAGCAACCCGAGAGTGCTTTGTGACGATTTCCTCCTTGGTGAAACGCAGGCATCACTGGTGGTACGTCTCAGGTCCCTTGATTCCACATCCGAGAGGCCCAAATAAACTCGCCTACCTATTTGATATACACACTGTTTGCATATACATATATATATATATGCATATATATATATATATATGTCTGTTGAACCAAATGCATATGCGTATCCACACATGTAAGCGGATACTAACACGTATGCATGCGTGCGCGTAAAGTACCATTATATATATATATATACATAGATGAATACGTGTATTGTATGTGTGAATTTGAATTTGTCGATGTGCCCTGAACACGAGACACATTGCCGGCTCCTTGAGGTCAATGCGCAGCTGCAGCTGAGCACGTGCACCGCACCTCAAAGCTGGCCGCCGGAGTGGTGAGGAGACAAGAAGAACACTTGCAGATTCACCCGGGTTTTCCCAAAACGCTACCTCTTTAGCATGGGACCGATATGTTTGGCAAATGGGAATTGGAAGCGTTCGGTTGCTAGAGGAAAAGAAACATCCTCCTTAGAAGCATTTGTTTTCGGGCGCCTCACTTCCAGTGGTTGAAAGCCCAGGCTCGCCGCAACATTCAAGCAATTCTTAGGTCCACTTTCGCGTGTCGTCGCCTTTCTCTGGGTGACCTTTGAGACACGAGTCACACGCGGATGAGTGTGAAGCAAGGGAGATTGCCACGCCTCAAGTGACCCAGTGCTTATGTTACCCCTGTACTAAGGCATGCCAGGCACTGATTGTCAGCAATTGCAATGGCAACGGCAGTATTGCCCAAGCCACCTGCTAAAAAGCCAAGCTCGAATCTCAAACCACCATTCGAGCGCTAAAGGGAACGTGCCTGGTTCCCTCCGATAGTGGCCATTGGAATCCCCTGGGTGGAGAATATGTTGTTGAAATCAAGATTCAGCACGCGCCCGACCCAACTCACCAGCTCACTTTCGAACATGACAAAGGAGACCCTTTGAGAGGGTTCTGACAACTTTGTTGGGGTTGCTGAGGGCCTTTGGTCCTTTGCTTCCTGCTAATGTTGATTGCTGAGGAGGTTCCCCCTTGCAATGCAGAAAGCAGGCCATACGCAGAACGCAGCCCATGGCATGGTTGTCATGCCGGTGTCCACGTTTGGCTCCGAAAGAATAGTGCACGATGACTGTGCAATTCCGTGAGCGAACATAGTCTGGAACCTCTGAAGACTTTCGACCGTGAGTTCACACGCCGTGGTCTTAGTCATGCTGCATGTCGGAGCAGCGCGATGCATGGGAATATCTCCAAGTAGTAAAACCCCTCTATTGGGTGCTTTTGTTGAAGACAGCTACACGCAACATGTGACTTAGATACCCAGCTGGTTCGGCGCTGCAGTACTTCCAGACCCCTACAATTGCCAACTATAACATGCTGGGGAACCACCTCACAAGTGGTTGGTGGAAATGGCTCCCCGCCAACTTGACAAATGACGTCTACCAAAGGGTCTTATGAAGTGTCACATATCCAAAATTTGGAGTGAAGCGCTCTGGGCTACGCTCTGCGAAATGGTTGAGCCCATGGCGCAAGCCGATCAGAATCCCAGTCCACAAGATTGATCTGTTTTTTGTTTGCAAGATTGTCTACTTGGGGAAGTCGTCTGATTCACGTTCTCAGAGCGGTTGTGCATGGCATGTGTCGCGGGGTGTATGTGTTTGTGTATGTGTTTGTTGTTTTGTTGCTGTTCTGTTGTGCCTGATAGAAACGCCAGATATGGATGTACGAGCGCCTGCCAGGTTTTGTTCGCTCTCACAAAACAGACAGGGACCCCGGTTGCAATTGCAGTTGAGAAATCCAACAGAGTGACTGACAGAGCACGGAGTTCTCCTTGGAAGACTACTTACAGGAAAGCGGTATGGCCCCCTTCAAGTTGAGGCTTTCTCTTGGAGGAAATGAACTTATCCAAAAAAAGGTGGCGAAAGGTCACTCTGACAGAGGGTTTATGAATGATGCCGGCAAAGCAGTGCTAGGTGAGGCAACACAATTGGACGTGAGCGTTGCCGGAAAGGCATTGTTTTTTTCTGCTAGGAGTGGATGCCAGGGTTTCATGGGAGCAGCACAAGCCTAATATTTTCCAATCGTTGACAAGTTGAGAACATTTGCAGGCCGGGGACCCGGATTTTGTCAACCCTCCTGTGTACCCTGGGCATGTAGGCCGTTTTTGCGAGGCCGCGATGCGGGCACTGCCTGGCTCTGAGATTGACCGAGTGTGCCTCCAGAGCTCCAGATTGAACGGTGGATCCTTCGTGAGATTATGTTGGATGCTCAGGGGCTGTTTTGTTTGCTTTCCGAGTTTTGTATGGCTTTGTCATATTTGCCTTGCCTCTAAACTTGTTCACCAGGCATGGCAGTTCCTTAGGCGAGCTGCACTCGCCCTATGTGTGCCTGGTGCTGAAAGCCTGCTTCGGGACCGTAGCGCGGGCGGGCGGATGTCAACCAGCTCTCCTGATCAAGGCCTCAAAGCTTCGCTATTCTTGGTATAGCTGCTGCTGTTTACCCACACTGACTGCCGCTTCCTCAGCACGCAAACGCAACCAAAGCAACATGTTTACTCTGTACATGTTTCACGCTACACGCCTCTTAGTTGTTGCTTCCATGTATGTGTCAACAGTGTTAATAGGGCTGCAAAGAGCGCTGTTTCTGCTGACGTATTAGAGGTTGAGGGGAACGCCCCAGCAATGGCCAAGTTGCAGATCGTGGGTTGCAGATGAATTCTGCACTGACCAGGAGCTGTACACCACCAATGCTGCATGCAGATCTCAGTACTGCGTGAACCCAGCTGGGGGCTTGGCCTGTCGAAAAGCTGGGACGCCCATGCTCAGTCTTGGACGTACCATTTGAGGTTTGTTTGAATAGGATTGTTGCGGACTATCCCAGCAATCCGCATGTTTTGGGAGGGTCTATCATGATGTGGGCTTCCCCCGAATACATAAAGTGTTTAAGTTGAGGGAAGTGATGAATTGGGCCCCTAGCCTACGGCTCTCTGGCAGAAGCGCGAGGTCTTCCCGGCCATACAAGATATGTCCGGCTTGGAGAAGCAGAGGCGGGCGATGGGCTAGCGGTTGCTTTTAGGTCCGAAAGGGAGTCAAGATCTTGCTGTGGATGTTTGTTCAAGGCCTTTTTGTCTACCAGTTGGCCATTTCGTAGTGGTTCTGCTGCCTGCTTTCATGGGGTTTTAGTGAAAGAAGCATGTTGGAACAGCAAACATTGGTGGGTTTTGTGTCGCAGTCCAAGTCAGCATTGTCCGTTTGGCATGGTCCATTGGTTGGTCAAAGGACCACTCAAGAACGTACTATGATGGCCTGTTCCAAATGGGTGATTCCAAAAGTATGGGACTAATTGCCCGGTTTCCTTGCGGTTCCCATTTCAACACCATCAGAAGCGTGCTAGCAAGAGCAGGCAGAGAGAGAGAGAGAGAGACATGCTCTTTGTGCCAGCCTTTGTGAGCCGAGCAGGTCATGCTCGACTGGACAAACGCTGAAACAGCCAGCCACGCCTGTCAAATGAGGTGCGATCTTGCAGAAACCACAATTGTACAGCCTGCCAGTGATGGAGGGTCCGGTAGGGTAGCCTTGTACCGTGTAGAGAAATACAGATTCGGTCGAATGCCTGGAGCCTGGGCCCAGAGTACTGACAGGTGGGCCAAACAAAGCCTGGCGGACTTGGCGAGCTTCATGCCCTTCTGTACCATCCTCAATTCTGGTGGGCAACATGTTGAAAGGACCAGACCCTCTGCAGAGGGATTTCAACAGGAGCTTTAATGTACACGGTGGTTCAGTCCCAGATGTTCCCAGACCCTGGCCGATTTAAAACCCAAACATGGACAACTTGCGAACTTGTGGGCGCTCAAAGGAAGAGAGCGCTACGATCTTCGGTATGCTGCAACTTTTGGGGGGTTGTAAGGCCTGAGCCGTAGATATCTACACCCCAGCTGAAGGAGCACAAGAGGGAAGCAAGGTGAAAACCACGGCATCTCAGCCATTCTCAGGCAACGGAACCGTGAATTACAACGTGGTGTCGGGCTCAGACTGCAGACTTTGATGCCCACAGTGAAAGATTGGACCTGTCCCAAGGTCCCGAGGGAATTTCAGCTCACCTATGATTAGCACCCTTACTACCTGATTTCCAGTTGATGAATGATAGTAATTTGGGCAGATAGATATGTTATTTGGTTGACAGGTGTGGGGCCCGCCTCGTGCAAGTGCCGCGTCGCCTACAGAACGCAGGGATTTTCCTTGAGACTGATTCGGATGATGCGAATATAAGAGGCAACATATTTGCAAACATTACTGACCCCAGATTAACAACCCATCCTCCTGATAGGGGGGCGTTCCCCTCCGAAAGTGATGATTCCTCACTAAACCAGGGGCGCCCACTGATAAACGGGTTGTTTTTTGGTCCGGGCTTCTCATTACACCACATCCCCATTCTGACTATTTCGTACTTGTATAGGATTAGCACGGCCTCATGTCACAAGGCATTGCCCATGAATGAGACCGCCTCCAACAACGCCTCCAATAAGAAGGCGATGCAGGAGAAGATGCCATGCTGTCATCAGACATGGAGAACTCAAACCCAGTTCTATAACACCCTGTTTCACCTTTTGTGTGGTGGGCTCCCCACTAAAAATAGTCAACACGGAAAAGGGACTGGAACTGGGATGAGGGAACCCTGTTTGGATGGTTTTGAAGGGAAACCAAGAGAAGGGCAACCTCTTGCAGGGTCCCTAATGAGACACATCCAACATGGGACATGTTGTTTACTTGGTGTTGTTGTCGTTTCTTTTCGTTTGTGTGTAGGTGTTGATGTAGCAACACATGAGTGGCATGTTATTTTGCAGGAGTTGGCACTTGCTCAAGATCAGCGCGCTGCGCAGACGCAGCTTGGCGCAAGTTTAACTAATTTCTTGGCCATTGTGGTTTAAGGGGGAGAAACCGCGAAAAGTCCTCTTGAGAACTCACAATGTTCACCTTGGAGCACGCAGCAATTTTGGGGGTGGTGACCCAGTAGTGTGTGTGGGGGGGGGGGTGGGGGGGGGGAAATGATCTGCTGGTCATGTCCAGAACGGAAAGCAAAGCACCAAGCTCTGTGTGTTGGTCCAAGACGTAACTCAAAGCCTTCCGCAAGCTTTGTGGGCATTCCAAACACTTCTTTTCAGGGCTATGAAAACTAGGACTCGTGATCTGCATTTCCACACCTCCAGCCCTTTTCCGGGCCGATCATGCAGCTGCTGGAGCAATCCACTGTTTTGGACAAACAGAAAGGACAGCCAGAAGTGCCAACGGTCTTTAAACCGCAACCAAAACAGTGCACCAAGGAAGAACCTTGGATGGGAATGAAGCTGTAACGTTCCTGATCTTTCTAAAAAGCGAAAGCAAGGACCCTTAAGTATCCAC